ATGCTTCCAGGTCTTAGACCGAGTTAGGGAGGGCGGATCAGGGGGAGTGGCAGAATGAGCGGCCAGCAACACCTCACGGATTTGCCACCGGTGGGAATGAGGTGTGGCTCCCCAGAGGATTTTTCCAGTTAGCTGAATTTCAGAGCCAGGCTTTTTTTTTTTTTTTCCTTCCCCTGTAATTTTAACTAGTTTGCACGGAGGAGGCCTTTTCTAAAATGGATTTCACACTTCTCTGACTCCTCAGACTGAGGCTACAGAACATAATTAAACTTATCAGGATGATGTGGGGTCATTGTGTGAAATCTCAATTATTAAGCTTTGGAGCCAGACCCTCTGGTTCTGATCCCAGCTTCTCCTCCAGATTGCTGTGTGGCTTCAGGCAAGGGTGTTAACCTCTCTGGGCCTCAGTTTCCCCATCTTTGAAATGGGACTAATAATAGTTTCTGCCTCATGGGATTGGTGAGAGGACTAAAGGAGCCAATAGGCATGAAAGGATATTCTGGGCACAGAGCAGGCAGAGCCATATGCTACTGCCATTTTTGTAGGTAGACACCAGTGAATCGTTGCATTTGCATAGGGTTCAGCCCAGGAGTAGATGGGTGGTCCACAAGCGTCGACTCCCATTCTTTTTTTTTTTTTAAATAACATTTAGTATATTATTTGTTTCAGGGGTACAGGTCTGTGATTCATGAGTCTTACACACTTCACAGCACTCACCATAGCATATACCCTCCCCAGTGTACATCCTCCAGCCACTCCATCCCTCCCACCCCTCTCCACTCCAGCAACCCTGTTTGTTTCCTGAGATTAAGAGTCTCTTATGGTTTGTCTACCTCTCTGGTTTCGTCTTGCTTAATTTTTCCTTCCTTTACCCTATCTATGATTCTCTGTCTTGTTTCTCAAATTTCTCATATCAGTGAGAGCATACGATAACTGTCTTTCTCTGATTGTCTTATTTCGTTCAGCATAAAACCCTCTAGTTCCATCCATGTCGTCGCAAATGGCAAAGACTTCATTTCTTTTGATGGCTGCATAGTATTCCATTGTATATATGTACCACATTTTCTTTATCCGTTCTTCTGTTGATGGACATCTCAGCTCTTTCCACAGTTTAGCTATTGTGGACATTGCTGCTATGAACATTGGCATTGATTCCCATTCTGACAGCAGCTCCATGCCCCACACTGTGGACCGGTGTTTGACATCGGCCCTTTGCTTTACTCCCCCCGACGGAGTCACAGGGGGCACTCCTACTCCATTTTTCCAGAGGCGACCACCCAGGCTTAGGTGACATCGCTTGCCACAGGCTGCTCAGTGGATAGGTGGCAGAAGTGTGGCTCCAAGCAGATGGCCTGGGCTCCTGCATACTGTTTTGTGTCAGGTGTGGTGTGGGGAACAGTGGACCTCCCAGGGGAGCACTGAATGGTCCTGGGAGTGATGAGCTGTAACGTTCTGCAGCAACTGTTCCTCCTTCCCTTCCTAACCTTTCAGGGCTTTGAGGGCTTCTCCTGGGAAGCACCAATAAGAGCTTTGGCCCCTGGACTTTATGGCATTGCTTTTGGCTGTTTCAATATATGTAATAATTTTCAAGTCAGTCACTGCAGGTTGCTGCATGTGGCTTGCCTGTGTTCATTCGGGTGACCTCCAGATGCGAGGGGTCACACCTGGAGTTCCAGACAAGGCATATGCTGGGGAAGCTGCAGAGGCTCTGGACTCTTGAGCGCCAGCCTTCTCCACTGCCACCCCCATCCCCATATGCTCCCTGAGGCATCAACACCGAAGCCTAAATCGCCTGGCATTAAAAGTCAGCGTCGCCCCCCACCGTCCGGCAGGTTACTTTACAGATAAGGAAACTGAGGCAGAGAGTCCAGAACTCAGGGCGCCTTGCTGGGCTGTGCCCCCTGCTGTCCTCAGCAGATTCTGAAGGTCAGTGTTTTCTGGTGCCACGGCCCCTTGCCCCCATGGGGAGGAGCAAAGGCCGACTTCGTGAGCCCATGAGCTGTGCAGTCCCGTAGGGCCCTCCTATGCTGCCTATGCTTGGTTTAAAGGCCTGCTGTCCCATTTTCCGTTTGTCATGGGCCTCACCAATTCTATAGCCAGCGTTGGGAGCCCACCTGGTCCTAGGCCTCCTCCTTTTTCTAGGCCACAGAATAGAGCTCCTCAAGGAGGCATTTAAAATGCTCCCTCCCTCCAACACAGGATAGGATTGGAACTTTCTGCTGTGGAGATAGAGTGACTGCAGGGGGCAGGTTTAGAAGGTTAGAGACCTTTCAGCAAGGCTGAGGGGGAAAGCCCTGCCTGGGTGACCCTCTGTGTGACCTTGGACACAGGACAGGATTTAAAACCCTCAGTTTCCTTATCTGTAAAATGGAGAGAGTAGCAGAGTTACTTCATATGGTTGTTATGCGGATTCAGTGAAATAGTGCATAAAGAGAAGGCCTCATACAGTGACTTGCATGTAGTAAGTGCTCAGTAAAGAAGTCGGTCTCTTATTCCAGGTCTGACGTCCTAGATTTCTCTGGAGGCTTAAGATTCCCAGGGCTCCTAGGCCTTGCAAACCCCCAGTCCAGCTCCTTCTTCCTCTCAGGTGGGCCATGAAGAGGGACATGAGGAAAGCCATCATTACCTGGGCCCCTCTGTGTGCCTCAGCACGGCCCCTCCTCAGCACCTCCCTTGAGGGGCACTTGAGGCCCAGGTTAACCAGAGGCCAGCCCCTCCCTGTCCATACCCACTCCAGAGTCTGAAGAAACCAGAGCAGCAGGCCCCATGAACTGGACAGTGCTCTCTCTCTCAGGGAGCAGAGTGGGGTGCCGGAATTGCCAGTCTACCAGTTGCCCACTGGTGATCTTGGCCAGGGTAGCTGCTTCCACCCCCTGGTTCCTCTTTGATAAAAAAGCAACAGGGACGCCTGGGTGGCTCAGTTGGTTAAGCAGCTGCCTTCGGCTCAGGTCATGATCCCAGCGTCCTGGGATCGAGTCCCACATCGGGCTCCTTGCTCATCAGGGAGCCTGCTTCTCCCTCTGCCTCTGCCTGCCATTCTGTCTGCCTGTGCTCGCTCTCTCTCTCTGACAAATAAATAAATAAAATCTTTAAAAAAAAAAAAAAAAAGCAACAAAGGATTACTTCAAGGGCTAAAGGTGATAAGGAGCTCAGTGACTTGGCCATGCCTAAGGTATCTAATAAATGTGTGTTGAATGAACGAATGAGAGAAGGGAGGGCTGCTTTGTGTTTGCTCTTGTCAGGTGTCCTGAGGGAAGGTGTGTGAGGGGGTGGGGCTGGGGCGGGGACAGAGTCCACCCCTGTCGAGGGTACAGGGAGGGGCAAGAGTACAAATAACCATGATAGCTTGCACATACAAGGCCCCTGGTGTGCGCCATACCCTGTTTCTAGCACTATCGTCATACTGACTCATTTCAACCTCACACCAAGCCTATGAGGTAGGCTGCCAGTACCCAATTCTACAGATGAGAACACTGAGGCCAGAGAGGTGAACAACTTGCTCTAGGTCACACAGCTAGAAAGGGACGGAGCTGGAGCAGGCAGCCTGGCCCCAGCAGCCATATTCTTTTTTTTTCCTCCCAGCAATCATATCCTTAACCATTATACTATTATACCCACCCCCAAACCTTTGGGCATGTCTTTCAAACTTGGAGGAAGTTACCTTTTCATCTCTGCCACCATTTGGGTCCTCACAGGGCTGTAGGACACTGGTCTCTTGAGACTGGCCCCCCAGTGAGAGGAAGGGGGCAGTGTGAGAGCTAGGTGACTTCCCGACAGGCCCTGGCTCTGAAGGGCAAGCTGGGCCCCAGGGACCTGACGACAAAGCTCTCAGCTCTGGCCACCTGGCAGCTGATTTGTCAGGATGCAGACCTTTCAGGATGAAGAGGCCACATGGGGATGGCTGGAGAGGAGGATGTGGGGGCATTTCTGCCCAGGGCCCTGTCAGCCGCAGCAAACTGAGGGACAGGGGGCCACGGAGGGGTCCAGCAGTCCTCTCCAGGGCCTGGGTAACTTCTTTGTGCTCTTGGGCTGAGTCAGGGCAGTCAGATACTCAGGGCTCTGCTTCTCGAACTTGGGGGAGTCACTCCCTTCTTTGAGCCTGAGGCCCCTCACCTTGGGAGAGTTGGGTGGGTTTCTCATGGGTTAGTTGGTGTGAAAGTGATGTCTATTTTTTTTTAAAAGATGTATTTATTTGAGAGAAAGAGCACGTGAGCAAGGGGAGGAACAGAGGGAGAGGGAGAGGAAGAATCCCTCAGCAGACCCCCAGCTCAGCGCAGAGGCTCCATCCCCTGACCCTGAGATCATGACCTGAGGTGAAACCAGGTGTCGGGCGCTTAACCAACTGCACCACCCAGGAGCCCCAGTGATGTTTCATCTTGACGGTCTGCTGGGAGCCACCTGGTGTGTGAGGGGATGAGGCAGTGTGGACAGAGTGAGGGCTCTGAGGTTGGCAGACCCAGCTCAGAGGAGCCTTGGGTGAGCCGTTTCAGCTCTCTGAGCCATTGCGTGAAAAAACGGACTGAGGCACATCAACACTGACATGACTTCACTCTACCAAGGGCTTTGCCTCTAGTCCTTGCAACAGCCCTTTGAGGTGGGTGCTGTGATCAGCCTTGTGTTACAGAGGGGAAACTGAGGCACTGAGGGGTTGCCTCCCTTGTCTAAGGTCACACAGCTAGAAAGTTTAGAACCAGAATTCAAACTGGAACAGCGGGTTCCAGAATCCACCTGCTTCACCCCCGGCCTCTGCCCCCTACCCTGCACTGCTCCATCAGACCTGCCCAGTGGGGTTGTTTGAAGATGGAATGAGATCCCCCAAGTATTAGCCCAGGGCCCAGCCCTTCATTGGTGCAGGGCAAACAAAACATGCTGTCCTTTAACCAGCTTGGTGCTCGGAATCCTCCTGTTTTCCAGGGCCTTGGGGCTGTGTTTCCACGGGGATTGGGGCGCCCTCCAGCCTTCTCCTGCCTCACACTCTTGTTCTGCCTCCTTCCCACCAGGATGTAGCCACAATGCAGTTCTGTGCCAACAAGCTGGACAAGAAAGATTTCTTTGGGAAGTCCGACCCCTTCTTGGTGTTCTACAGAAGCAATGAGGATGGAACGTGAGTTCCCTGGCCACACTTCACCCCCTTTCCAGCATCAGGGATGGAGGGGTGCGGCGACCTGCCAGGCAGGGGGGCTTGGACTTGCCTCTTCCCAGTGGTACCTGGGCCTCCTGCTGAGTATGGAAGTCAGGGGCTCCCGTGGTACCCTGACACGTGGTTGGGACCAGTGGGGGGTAAGGGCAGCCCCAAAGCCAGCGGTGCCATTCTGAGGGTCTCAGCCGTGGTTGTTGGAGGTGAGGGGAGTGGGCGAAAGCTGGGCTAGGGTGGGAAGGAAGGGTTCCTCCGATAGCCCCTTCCTTCTTCCGCACAAGTCAGCGCCTATCTCCAGCCCACCCCTCCTCCACCCGCAGCCCTCGGAACACCCCCACTACCCCAGGCGCCCCACACCCAACTACCACACGCCCGGCATGGCAAATCAGGACCCTGTTACCTGCCCAGCCCCACACCTTGCCAAAGGCTTCATTCAAAACTGCACGCGTCTTTAAATCCCCCATTTCCTCCTCTCCTCTCCCTAATCTGGAAGCCACCCACAGTATGACGGAAACACACACAGCGCGGCGGCAAATGTAGGTCAGCTGTGCACACGGATGCTCAGATTCCAGGTTGAGGGTCTGGGGACCTCTGTCCACCCCACCAGCTCGCTGTGTGACCTGGGGCAAGTTATGCCCCCTCTCTGGGCCTATTTTTTCATCAGGAAAATGAGCCAGTTGGATGAGGCAGTCTCCATGGTCTCTTGAAGCAGCATGGCTTTGGGAGGCTGTGGCCACTTTGAGCTGGGATGCTGCCGAACCAGGAAGCCATGGGGTCAGGGAGGTTAATTAGAAAGACACTGCTGGAGAAGGGGAACTTGGAAGCAGGTTTGGAAGGAGAGGGAGAAAATGGATCCATGGGGAAGGAGAAGGGAAGAATAACAGGCAAGAGAAAAGCAGAGCGCAAAGCAGGTGTGCCCGGAGCGGAGGGCAGAAAGGCCTCCGCCCAGTTCCCCTGGATTCTGGAACTGTGTGTGTGGGGGGGGTGCAGGGAGGAGTAGGAGGAGGTGTGTTTCAGTTCAAGAGAAAACTGATTTTAAAACCTGAACGAACAAAACAAGGGAAATTAGGTGTGATCATTTGCATAACAAAAGGAGTCTTTGTCTCACCAAAGGACTCCCAGCAGGATTTCTTTAAATAATTCTTGTTGACTTTGACTTGACTTGAGGGAGGGAGGGAAAGGGCCCAGCAATGTTCTGGGCGCCCACGGAAATGTCCACACAGGTCCCCTCCAGAGAGGCAATGCCTGGTCGGGCTGGGTTTGTCTCGGAGGTGAAGGCCAGCGGGGCCAGAAGAGACGGATTGGGGTTTAGGAGCAGGGGAGGGGTGTGTTGCAAAGTGTTTGCCAGTGATTGTTCTAGCAGAGCCTGTGTAGGATGGGTGGGGAGGGGGCAGGGAAGAGGGAGAGACTCGTGACTGACACCGTGAACAGGTGGGAGGTGCTGCGCGCAGGCGAGCCTTGCTGGGGGGAATGCAGGGAGGAAGTGGGGAGGGGAGGGCGGGGCAAAAGGACAGTGAGCAGACCTCACAGGGCAGGACTGGGGTGGTCACTGAAGTCAGAGCCCTTCCCTGGCAGTGGAGATGTGGGAAACCCAGAGTGTTAAAAATGGCGAAGGAGCTGGTCAAATGGGGGAGGCGATGGGAGTTTATTTGGGAGCGAGTTTCCCTTGAGGCACGGGCTGGATCTCTCCAAGGGCAGCTGGAGAAACCCACCCAGAGCCCCCCAGAGGGTGGGCCTGTCTGTGGGCACAGGTCAGAGGCTGACCTAGTGGAAGCAGGGTGGTTACCCAAGGTTTGAGGAGAGACCAGTAGAAGGTTCGGGTGACCCTGCCAGTTAGGAAGAGGTCAGAAGGAAGGTCAGTGAGGGAACCCAGGGAGTGGAATGTCCTGGGGGGAAAGGGGAGGAAGCACCCACGGAGCACCCATGGAGCTGCTGGTGCTGTACCTACTTTGTCTTCTTCAGTCCCGGTCATCCCTCTGGCTCCGCCAGGCTGCCTGCTGTGTACCTTTAGGCAAGTCTCTTAACACAATGGAATTTTCTGGAATGATGGGAATGTTCTGTGTCGCCATTAGCTACGGTAGCTGTTGAGTATGTGAAAAGGGTGACTGAGGAGCTTAATTTTTAATTAAATTAAACGTAATTTAAATTCAATTTAATTTAAAGGTAAATAGCCCCATGTGGCTAGTGGCTACCATATTGGACAGTGCACCTCCCCAACTCGGTTTCTTGGTATGTACAGTGGGGATAATCCTACCACCTTCCTCACAGGGTTGCTGTGAGGACCAAGTGAGTTCATATGTGTCATTAGAACAGGGCGCGGCAGTATTAGCTACTGGATCCACCCCCCAATCTTTTTACAATGAAGGGGAAGCTCAGAGAAACTCTCTTGCTCAGGGAGGCACAGCTGGTAGCAGGGGCCCTGGGACTGGAGCTTCACCTGTTAGACCCTGCGGGTTCATGGTCTCCCACATCATGCCTTGAGCGGATATCGGGGTGAACTGAGTTGAGCCATGAGATGTCTGCAGGACCATGTCCATGCCAGGGCCTGGCCCCAGGGCAGCTGCAGCAGGGAGTCGAGGGGTCTGTGGATTTGGTGATGAGGGGCTTGGAAGACCTTAAAAAAAGCAGCTTCAGATCAGAAGCCCGGAGGGAGGCAATCAGGCTAATAGTGCAGAAGACCTGGTCAGGATACTGGCTGGCAAGGGAGAAGAGATGGAGAAGTCGGGGGCTCCAAAGAGATGGAGGGGCTGGGAGGGTCCACAGAAGGTGGGTGTGACTGTTCCAGGTAGGAGGTCTCTGGAGCCCAGCCCCAGGCTTCTGTGCAGGCGACCTTCCCTCTCTTCACAGCCCGGGGGCGGCTCCTGATTCTACCTCCCGCGCTCCCCTCCCCAACCCTTTTGTCTTCCTGCCTTACCTGCCTGCCCCAGCTTGGGCAGCCATGGATGGCCCCCTCCTGTCCCCGTCCTCATTCCCATCCTAGTCACCAGCTCCAGGGTGTGTGGGGAGGTCTCCCACATGTATCTCCACACTCCAGTGGGCGGGCGAGAAGGAGCAGAGAAGAGAAACGCTGAGCCGCGGTGACAGGAATGACATTTTGACTTGAAAATTGCCAGAGAAGAAATGGCAAAGGCTGTGTGGGCACGGGCGGGGCCCAGGCGCTTTCCTGGGTGACCTTTCTAGGCTGGTAGGTGGCTGGGGTGGGGGTGGGGAGGCTGGGAAATCACAGGGGGACAGCTTGTGCCCCTGGCCCCGATCTGGCTCCTGGCTGCCCCTCTGTGTTGGCAGGGCAGGCTGCCAGGATGCGGCCAGCAGGCACGCACGGGGAGTGGGCAGGGACGCTGGACTGGAGCCCAGCGGGGTAAGCCAGTCCGACACTTTCAGTTTGCAAAGCAGGCTCGTGGATTCAGACTGGGAGAGCCGAAAGTGTCTAAGAGATTGTCTAAGCCAGGGGCCTCACTTTCATGGCCTTTAATGCCAGGGAAAGCTGTGGAAACTCTCCTGCGAGACATACATCTATTCATTAGTTGGTTCCAAAAAAATATTTAGCGAACGCTTACTCAGTGTCAGGCACTGGTCTGGGCACCAGAGATAAACCAGTGATCCAGGAAGACCAAACAAACCCTTGCCTTCACGGAGCTTGCGTTTCACCGACAAACCGTACAAATAAATAAGGAGAAACATAGACTGTGTCAAATGTCAAATGATAACAGGTAAAATGGAAAAAAAGCATGGAAGGGGACAAGGGGATGTCAGAGACAGGGGACCGGGGGTTAAATAAATTTTATATCAAGGCAGGTGCTTTTATCTAATGGGTGACACTTGAGTAAAGACCGAAAGGAAGTGAGTAAGTGAGCCATGAACATGGGAATCTGGGGAGACAATGCTCCAGTCAGGGGAACAGCAAATATATGAAAGTCATGCACCAAGTTCACCCCGATTTTAGGGGTTCACAAACCCTTAAATCCCATCCACAGATCCTTCCGTGGATCTCAGATGAGGAACGTCTGACAGCAGCCAACTCCCTGAGTTTATAGGGGAGGGGTCAGCTTACTCAAGGTCACACAGAGAGGAGGCTAGGGGGGCAGAACACATTATCTCCTGACACTCCCCCCGGCCCCTGGGAATCTCTCTCAACTGTCACCAAGAAATGGCCACCTGCCTGGGCAGCTCAGTTGGTGAAGTATCTGCCTTCAGGTCACAATCCCAAGGTCCTGGATGGAGCCCTGCTTTGGGCTCCCTGCTCACTGGCGAGCCTGCTTCTCCCTCTCCCTCTGCTCCTCCCCCTGCTTGTGCACACTCACTCGCTCTGTCTCAAATAAAAAAAATAAAATCTTTAGGGAAAAAAAAATGGCTACAGGTAGTGTCTGGATGCTGCTCGTGACAGGGAGCTCATCGCCTCCTGAAGCTCTGGCTTCCACTGTCAGGCAACCGCAGAGGTTAATCGGTTGCCCCTCTGTTGACCTGGATTCTGCCTCCCTCGGTTGGGGCCTGACTGACACCTTCCATCTCTTCTTTACCAGGTTCACCATCTGCCACAAGACCGAGGTCATGAAGAACACCTTAAACCCAGTTTGGCAAACCTTCTCCATTCCTGTGAGAGCACTCTGCAACGGGGACTACGACCGGTGAGATGAGACACTGTCCCTCACAGGGGTAGGGGGTAGGGGGTAAGGTGTAGGGTAGAGGTGCTGGCTGTCTGGGAAGTGGGGGCGGAGCCCCCCCAGAGCTGTGCTGTTCCTGCCCCTTGCCTCCTTGGGCAGTATCTGCCTCCATTCCCCACCCCGCCCCACTGCCGGCCCACTGGTCTGGCAGCCCACTGCTGGTGGGGGACCTGCCCAGCCTGAGGGGATGGGAAGCCAGGAGCTTCTGCAGCCTGTCTCTTTGTGATTTCCAGTGGAGGGGCGGGTGGGGGCAGGATGGGGGCTCTCGATGCAGGCAGAGGTGGCCATGCCAGCCCCAACTCCTAGTAGATGGACTCTGGGGAGTCAGGATCCCAAGATAAATGGGGTATGAGGGGCAGAGTACGGAGAACTCGTGAAACTTTCTTGATGTGCGGCAGCCCATCCTAATCGCATGTCCGTTGGCTCTCACCATCATTGTTTGAGTGTAGGTTGTTGGGTGTAGGTACTCGGGACCTGGTTTCTAACTCTGGCTCTGGGAATAAAAAGCGCTGTGAACCCGGGCAAGCTTTGACCTGACTGAGCCTCAGTTTCCTTATCTGTAGAATGAGTTTTAAGCATCCACCTACCTTCAAGGGCTGCTTAGAAGCTCCCATGAACTTCAACCTACACAAGAAAGCCCTGGTTTGCGGCATTTTGTCCACAAACATTTATTGACTTACCACCGTGTGCTGGGCACCCCGCTAGATGCTGGGAACTCAGCAGGAGACCAAACACGCCGTCTTCACCCTTCGCCCAACCTTGTGGAGTTTACATCCTTGTGGGGGAGGCAGACATGAATCCGATCACCACACAAAGAAACAGATAATTGCATGTTGTGCTGAGTGCCAGGGAGTCGGGGGCAGTAGGATGGCATCGGTCTGTGTGAAGTTTTGAGAACCTGGCCTGCTTTCCCGTTGATCGCTGTTGCCGGTGGATGAGCTGCCAGATGGGATGGGACACGGGCCCTCTGCAGGCCATCCGGACAGGAGCACTGGGGTATCACAACGGACCCTGCAGGGGATCCTGGCTGATGCCGTTAGCAAGGGCTCCCTGGGACCCTGCTCACAGTGTCTCCTGACTGGGTACATGTTGCGGGGAGGAGTGGGAAGGACAGTGCGGATGGCCTTCAGACATCCCTGTCTCCCTCCAGGAAACCCTCAGGCAGCCCTGTTAGGTTGCTGATCCAGGAGATGAGGTGACTCCTTCTCCTGCCTCTTGGCTGGGACAGATCCGCCAGTCTGTTCCACAGGCATTCACTGAGTACCTACGATGTGTGCTCAATGCTTCGCCTGCAGCTGTGTGGCTTTCAAGGGAATATAGCCACGTTTCCATCTCTAGGGAGCCTCGAGGCTGACCACAGGGAGCTCAGATGTGCACACATCTGCATTTTAGATAGCTAGATAATTGTGCAAAATGAGACTGGAGACAAAAATAGACATTCCAGCCAAATGAAGCCCGGTTACATGTCTGGCCAGTCCTGGGGCTTCCGGGGGCTGTGGAGTGGAAGGACGGTCTGGTTGGAGCAGGAGGATGAGAAGGAGACTTGGGGAAGGCTGGGAGGTACGGTGGGGGGGGGTGGTTCCGGTTGCTGGAAGAATGGTTGGGATAGCAGAGGTGACAGGGAAGGAGGGGCAATTGGAGATTGGGGGATGGGAGAGCGTAGCAGTTCAAGTCTCACAGGGTGGGAGGAATTGGCATCTCTGGCCTCAATACCAGACCCCTGACAACCCTGCACCCTGAGAACCTGACCTTGTCAGGGACAGTGAGGAGGGCAGTTGGGCTCAGACAGCGGAGCTCGCCGTTCAGCCACCAGTGGAAGTGAAGTTATGGGAACACCTCCAGAGCCTGCCCCCATCCCTCCCCTTGCGGCTGAGCCCCAGACTGGTTTCCCTCCAGCATGACCAGGCAGCCCAGGACCCTCTCCACAGCCGGGAACAGACTGACTGTGATGTGACTGACAATGGTGTTAATGGAGGGGGCCAGGCCTGTCACACGGCCCCTCTGCCACCGAGCTCTAGGGTGACCTATGTACCCAACACCACTTGGGAGGTGCAAGTGTCTGGAAGGCCCTCACAGGGTAGGAGAGGGAGGGGTTTGTGCAGGAAAACAAAGCCATTTCCCTCTCCCCTCGAGGTACCTCTTGAAGCTCACAAAAATACATTCAGTTTAATCTAGCAGCCGTGTCTTCCAAGCCAGCCAGGCAACGGTCATGCTGCTGGGTGCTGTGGGCATAGTAGACATCAGATCCGAGCCTCCCCGTTAGGTTACTCCCAGGCCAGAGTGGAAGACAGGTCATAGTAATAATTGTAGTAGTAGTAGTAGTAGTAGTAGTAGTAGTAGTAATAGTAGTAGTAGTAGTAAATGCTCTTGTAGCACTTCTGTGGTCATTTATGTATGTAAGCTAATTTCATTCTTCCAACAATTTCCTCTGAAAAAGGTGCTAATACTATCCACATTTTACAGGTAAAGAAACTGAGGCCCAAAGACGTTAACAGCTCACCTAGGATCTTACTGCCCATCAGTGGTAGAACCAGGATTTGGAGCCAGGCAGGCTGCCTAGAGAATTTGTATTCGTGTCCCTTGTGCTCTGGGGCCAAATGGCTAAGACGGGTGTGAGTGGGGCACATTTGGTGGAGGGCTTGCCCAGGGACTTGGGGCAGGTCTCCTTGGAGCCTGGAGGTGAAGACATGAAGGCCTGGCCATCTGCCTACATCTGGTAGTAAAAGGGATTTAGAGGACATTTGTGTTTGGAGCTGAGGTTGAGAGGGAGAAATGGAAGAGTGACAGGGACCCTGAGGGGGCAGCTGTGTGACAGGCACGGTGGTGCTCTGCCACGCAGAGAGGAGAACAGAGAGCTGGCAGAGGTGAGATGTTCCAGGTCCTGCACAAGTAGGGAGCAGGAGAGAGACACGGAGATGGTCAGAGAGCTAGGAGGGTACTGGGAGAGGGCAGCTGGGGGCAGAGTCCTGGGCTCAGGGAAGAATCCAAATAGAAGTATCAACTCCTCCCATGAAGGAGAGAGCTGGGAGGGCGAGAAGCAGGGATCTGTGAGGCAGGAGAGTTTACTTGGAATGAGGGGGTGGAAACCAGTTAAGATGACTGAGTCTTTCAGAGTTGGGTCAAATTGTGCCCTAATTGGTTTAAATACATTATCCTATTTTGTGAATTTAAGTTTCACAGCAACCCTAGAAGCTGGGTTCTAAAGACATGCCCATTTCACAGATGGGGAAACAGAGAACTAGAGCTTATGTATCTTGCCCAAGGAAGGAGAAGGTATATTTCCCTTCTCCACAAACTGCCTTCTCTAGAGGCAGAGGTCCGCCCCATCTTTGCTGTCTCCAGTTCAAATCCAAGCGAGCCAGCTGGGCAGAGCTGGGGACAGCGGGGCTGGCGTCAAGATCAGAGGTGGTCCAGCCCTCCCGTGGGGTGAAATGGGTGATGGCAAGAAGCCCTTCCCCAGTCTTTCCTGAAACCCCTCTGCTCTGGCCTTCGGCATTCTGTGACTTGAGGATCTATTCCCCCTTGAGCCAGCCAGATTCTCCCGCTCAGGCTGCTGTCCCTCACTCACACCTTAATGTTGAATTTGTGGATGTGAAGAGGGTAAGTTCACTGGGCCCTCCCCTGGAGAGGGGAGACGATTCCCCAGGACTGGGGGCTCTCACATCCCAGAAGCTACACACTTCTGTGGGCCTGCTGGAGAAAGGAAATATATCGCCCTTGAACCCTACTGCATGCTGAGTCCTGGGAGGGGGCCCAGCCCCTGCATATGACCAGCTGACACACGTAGAAGCTGAAGGCAGAGGAGGGAAAGCCTCTGCAGTGTGGCTGTGCTTACACAGAGCTCCATCTTTCAGCGTTGCTGCCTGTCCCCCTGAACCCCAGCACCCGTCTTCTTCCCCGAAGCCTCTAAGACTGATGGGCTGACTCAGTCAGTTTAGGGCCAAGCCCTGGAGACCTGTCAGCCTAGTACCTCTTCCTGCCCTGGAGAAGCTCATTAGGAGAGAGACACAGCTCTGCTCCAGGGAGACTGTAGATAGAGCTGTCGGTGTGCAGGTGTTCAGAGAGAGAAGCCTGCAGTCTTTGCTGGCCTCCCTTGGCCCCGCTGGCCTGCTAAGGCTCACACAGGCCCAGCTCTGTCCCCACAGCCCCAGGCATCCAGAGACCCACAGGACACTGGCTCCTGGCCCCAGGCCTGGCTTCACAGCTTGATTTGGGGAAAACCCCCCCTCCGCCCCCCCACCCACGCGCCAGGCTTCCCTTCATGATTTTGTGGAAGGAGGGAATTGTCACTGCATGGTAACTGCACAGAGTTGTGAGATCTCAGACGACAGATATTTAATAATATTTATATTACCTACTATATGCCAGGCACCGTTCTAGAAGCTAAAGATTACAGCAGGGAATGAAACAACCCACATTTCCTGGTCTCAAGGAGCTGACGTTTTCATGGTGAATAGCAATAGCTTGGGAGACAGGGACTTGGACAAAGGCTGGAGTGTTTTAGATGGAGCAGAAATGTGTCTGGTCCTGGTGTGAATGACATGTGAATGATGTAGTTGACTTCTCACAACGCCAAAGTGGGTGTGATGATCCCATTTTACAGAGGGGTAAACAGAGTCCCTGGGGCCTTTGAGATGGCTGGGCTGAGTTTGCACAGGAATCTCACCCCCGGAAGTCTCAACCTCAGCAGCAAGTTAAAAATTCCCCAGGGAGTTTTTAATACGCCCCCTGCCCAGGCTGTACCCCAGACCATCTGATTCTGAACTGCTGGCGTCAGGATTGCTAATACGTGCCCGGGATCCAGTGTGCAAATGATGGGGGGAGCCCAGCGCTCTCCTCTAGAGAAGGTCGGTGGCTCTGGACAGGCATTCCAATCAGCCAGGAGACGTTCCAAAACTACCCAAGCCTGAGTACCATCCAGACCAACTGAATCAAGCCCTGGTGCCCTGGGATTAAAAACAAGAAACAACCAAAAACCAAAAACCTCCTTGGTGATTTTTGGGGGTATCCAAGGCTGTGGCTGTAACTGGGGTCCTCCTGTAGTTTCTGAGCCTGTGGCTGTCACTGATCCAGTCGCCTGAGTGGCTGGTGTTGGTGGTCTCAGGAGAGACACTCCTTGCTGGGGTCCCCGAAAGTCCCCTGCAGAGCCGCATGGGTCTGGGAAGGACTGGGTGACTTTGGCATTGTGGGTCAGGGTCCTGGCTCCGGCCCTGGCCAGCTCTGTGACCCTGGGCACATCCCTTAGGGCTTGGCTTCCCCAGCTGAAAATGAGTGCGCACAGCGGAGCCGTGGGGTGTGTGTGTGTGGGGAAACTTTAAACTAGATCCCAGGCTCTGCCCAGAGATGCCAGGAACCAGACCTGGGGCTGTGTATGTCTGACAGGCTCGGTGGTGATCAGCTACATGGCCAGGCTTGGATACCACTGAGGTTACTTCCAGCCTTGTCATTCCAGGAACTGGAAGTTGCAGAGCCCAGGTACCCAGGCGGAGCGTCCCTGATTTAAGTAAATTTCCTATGAAAAGCAATCCAAGTGTGGCCGAATGCCAGAGTGGAGAGGAGGAGGCATTTTTACGGAGACCCACCTGTGCGCCCCGTGGGCTCTGCCAACTCCACTAGTATCCTTCCTTGAAAAGGATGGTCTGTGGCTCAGAGAAGTTCAGTGACCTCTCCAGGTCCCACAACATCTGCACTCCAGCCTCTTTCCTCTCTTTCCAGTCACCAGCCCCCTCCCCCACTTCAGGGACCTAGATATTTTTCTAGATTTTTTTCTAGATTTTTTACCCCACGATTCACTCCAGAGAGAGACACAGTATTTTGTTTTTCCTAAGAATTTAAGAGGATTCCTTGAAATGATGGACTTCCATGCCTGCCCCATTTACCTAGGTGGTCACAAAAATCCGGGGTGGTGCACGACCTCCCACACATTCCTCCATGGGTTGGTGCCCTGCGGCGGGCAGGTGCCCTCCCGCCCCGGGAAGGCTCATCTACGGGGAGACAGCGCCTCCTGCTGGGGGCCACGCCACCCCGAGGCTGACTTCTCGAAGACCCACAAAGACGGGCTGCGGCCCCAGGCGAGATGATCTATAACTAGAAGACAGGCCCAGGCAGCTGTCTCTGCGAGCCCCAATTCGGACCGAGGCTGGAGACCCCAGCTCCCCATGCCTCTGGTTCCACCCCCCCCACCACCCCGATCCTGAGCCTGCAGGGAGACCCTGGCAGCTGCCCCTTCCCTGGGCCTCCCTGGAGGACCACTGGCACCAAGGGTTAACCCACGGTCTTCCACCTCCCTCCTCCCACCTCTGGTCTGCTAGCCTGTTGCCATGGAAACGGGCTAAAAATAAAATGGGCTCCCAAAGCCCAGCCCCCTGCACAGGAGTCAAAACAAACTAATTAAAGCAGCCAGGCTAAAATATGAAGATAATTACACCCTCACTCAGGAGCCAGTCGTGGCAATGGAAAAGCTCAGCAGGCCATTCCTGACTAGGGGAGGTCCTGGGCCCCTCCCTGCCGGTCTGTGCTGGTTCCCCATTGCTCAGACTCCTCGGACTGGGGTCCCACAAGCTCCTAGTCTTGTTACCCCTCCCCAGGAGAGCGCAGTCGCTCTGGCCTGAGATCCCAGGGTCCCACCACCGTCCCCCCCACCCTTGATAAATCCGCACTATGGCTTCTTCCTGGGACCTGTGTCCCATCTGGGGTGGCCAAGGAGAAGGCGAGGTGAACTGAAGTCTGAGACTGTTTTTCCACATCCTTCCTGAAACTCAGGCAAGTCCCTAGGCAGCTTTGAGGATGCCTCTGTCCCTAAGACCTTTACTAAAGGGCCTGAAGATAGTTCCTTTGTCTCTGGGGCTGTTGTATGTCCTTTGAGGGCCCTAGAGCCTGGTGGCTGTCTCAGCGCACCTTTCTGGCCCAGGAGCATGGGAGGGGCCTTGTCTTCCCGGCCACGCAGGTGCCAGGTCAAGCCCACCCCACCACGGGACCTTTGCCTTGCAGGACCATCAAGGTGGAGGTGTATGACTGGGATCGGGATGGCAGGTAAGCAGGCAGGAGGACAGAAGGTGAGCGGGGATGAGAGCAGCCCCAAGGGGTGGTTGGGCCCTCCCCTCAAAGGCGGAGAGCAATGCCAATGGCAGCTCTGGGGGTGAGGGAGCCTGGGTTTTCCAGGGTCGTCAGGGTCCATTGCCCCAGTGGCTTGTCCCTGCCCCGCTTCTGTGAGGCACCAGAGGATTTCGGTCCTGCGTGACATGGTTCCAGAGGCACGGGAGGCCTCTTTTCCTCAGATAGCCACCTAGCAGACATCCAGTGCCTAAAACCTCACCACATTTGGGAGAATTAGGATTTTCTGAAATGTGCCTCTTTGAATGTACAGATTCAGGTGACCCCGGGCATTCATGTTCTCTGTGAGGCTAAGTGCTGTGGGTGACCGAGATGGGGAAGACAAGCTCAGTCCTCAGAGAGACTCCTCCAGGTCTAATTGTGTGTGTAGGGGGGGCTGGTACATCAAAGGAACTGTTTGTAGGGAGCTGGCCCTGAGGGGGTGGGCTATGGGGAAGGGTAAGCTTTGATGCACACGAAGGGTCCCTGGAGCCATGAGGCTGTCCCTGAGTTGGGTCAAGCCGGGCCAGGAGGAGGACACTTCCGTTTGGGTTGTGGGAGGCCAGTACCCTCCCTGTCTGCAACCAGAAGGGCCCCCACAGAGCAGTGTCACTGGGAATTCATAGATGAGGACAAGAATGGGCCTCTCCTGGCTCTACTCCAGAAACCTCACAGGCTCCCACTTGTCTGTGGGACCACACCCAATATGTCCTCTGGACTTTTGGGACTCCCTCCATTCTGTGGCATTACGAGGGGTGTTGTAAGGGGACTTTTGCCCCGTAATCTCCATCCATACCCCTCAAGTCTGTGATGCTGATAGGGGGTACTGTAAAGGTCTGTGCAAACAGAACTCAAGGTAGACCCTGGACGGTCCAGGTGGCTCACCTTCCCCTGAGGCCTTCTGGGACAGGATTCCAGTGCCACCGAACCTCTGTTAACTCGCTCTGTCCCCCGTCCTCTCCTCTTTACCAGTTCCATGTTTCCTTTTACCCCAGAGCTCCCCATACTTCTCCTTCACTGGGAAAAACTGGGGATAGCCACCAGCTCTCATAGCATCCTGCCATCAAGGAGCTTGTAGTCTGAGTCCCGAGAGCTATAAATACATAGTCAAAATCCAGAGTGGCCTCCAGGCAGAGGCAGGCTCCAGGGACACCTCCCAGGCCTCACTCTCCAGCTGCTCTGGAGGTCCCCCCAGGCTGCCTCTTTCGGGGGTGGTGACCCTGAAAGGCAGCTAGACGTGGGAGAGATGGTGAGCGGGGTTCTTCTGCGGACAGGTGTTGCTGCTCTTAACAGGAACACACACTTGAGGGGGCAGAGTCCCAGAAAGTGTGGCCACCACAGAAAATCTCCAGCTACCTCGATGGACATGACACAAATGGTCTTTTCAAAGACTGTTACTGGAAAAATGGCAAATTTTTTTTGAAAAAATTTGAGAAAAAGAGGAGTCTAATGAAGGATTTTAAGCCTATCATCTGAATTTAACAAGTGTTACATGTTGCCACATTTGCTCTATGTTTTGCTGCTGTAGTTTAAATTACAGACATCAAGGCATTTCTACCTCTAAATATCTCATTGAGAACATCTAAAAAATAAGGACGTTTTCCTACAGAATCATGAATGCCATTATCACACCTGACACGTTGAACAATAATTCTTGAATGCCGTCTAATATTCATTTCATATTTAAATTTCTCCTGTCCTCCCTGAAAGACCCAGCCCTGCCGGTTTTGTTCAAATGAGACTCCGAGTAGAAGTGGGCCCCCTTCCCTGGGGCCCTGCTCTTGGCTAGGTGACTGCTGGCTTTCCCACTCCACAGGGGACACGGGGCTCTTCCCAGGGGCCCAGCCTGTGTGCTGGCGTGCATCCCTGGAGTGGAGGCCCTGGGCAGAATCGGGAGCCAGGGGCAGGGGTGTGAGAGGCAGGGAGATGGGCAGAGGCAGTACCCAGTGTGGGCCACTGTCTCACAGAGACCTTCTCTTGCAGCCATGACTTCATTGGCGAGTTCACCACCAGCTACCGGGAGTTGGCCCGCGGACAGAGCCAGTTCAACATCTATGAGGTGAGGTGGACACCGGAAGTCCGAGGTTTGCTCTGATTATACCCAACTTCCAGCCACCGAGGACTACTGCGGGCCATGTGCTGGGCTGGGGTTTTCTCGTGTTCTCCTGGGATGTGGCTCTTATTGTCTGAGTCTCAGAGAAGCGATAGAATTTGCCCAAAGACACGTGGGTCAGTAAGTGGCAGAATCAAGAGGCAAACAATGTCGGCTTGCCTGGCTCCCCGAATCATTGAGTTACAGTGTCCCCACAAAGCGTTCTTCCAACAAGATGGGGGAGGAGGGGTTCCAGTGGGACAGAAGGTGGGGGTTGGGGAGACCCAAGGTCCTGAGTTCAAGGTGGCTCTCTGCCTTCAATCAGAACAATTTCAGGGCCTGCTGAATATCTTACTGTTTCTGGAAGGGAAGAAACAGAGGAATAGGACGTAGGTAGCCTCCATCTGGATCTGGACAACCTGGACAAGCCTCTCCCCACCCTGCCAGTCTTTCTGGAGATAATAGTGCTTGCCCTCCAAGGACAGTTTCTGCCTCTGAGTCTTCGCCTGTGTGTGCTCACCCTCCCGGGATGCCCTCCCAGCTTCCAAATTTAGCTTGAGTTCCAGATCCTCTGGTGGCCTTCCCAGCACTCTGGTCTCGTGCTTTCTTCCCCATGTGAGCCTCATGGACAGTACAGTCTGTGCTAGACCCACTTAACTGCAGATACTTTTTCTTCTTCTTCTTCTTTTTTTTTTTTTAGATTTTATTTATTTATTTGAGATAGAGAGCAAGAGAGAGCACGAGCGAGGGGAGGGGCAGAGGGAGAGGGAGAAGCAGACTCCCCACTGAGTAGGGAGCCCAGGATCTGAGGCGAAGGCAGACACTTCACTGACTGAGCCACCCAGGGGCCCTAACCACAGATATTTCAAAACCCTAACAACTGCCTGGGTTCATACCCTGCTGCTACCATGGACTGGCTCCGTGACCTGTGTTATGTTTCTGCACCACTCCGTGCTAGGCCCACTCAGAGTGAAAGAAGTCACTAGGACAGTGTCTGGCCCCTCGTGAGCATGATGTCACTGCTGTCTTCCAGCATCTTCTGTGGAGGGCAAGGAGAGTGACATCTCACAATAGCCCTAGAGATGGGCTCTCTCCCCACAGGAGCAGCCACTCAGCTAGTGACATTGAAGAGTCGGTTTTGACTCCCGTCACGGGGTCTGCACCACTCCATACTCTCCCTCCTTCACCCCAGGTCTCTGTTCTGAGTGGGCAGGTCTCGAGTTCCACTGGACAGGAGCTCCCTGAGGGCAGACTGGGGGGACAGCCCTTCCTGGGGCCTCCCTTCACAAGGGTTTTGCAGTGCCTGTGTGCACCCAGTAGGTGCTGATGGTCCGAGGAAGTCCTGAATTCAGTTGAACGAGGCCATTGTGACGATGGAGCGTGGGTGCATTTCTTTGAAAGGGATCCTATCCTCACAGTTAATTGCTTTGTTTTCTGCATCGGAAAAGGGAAGGGCTGTCTTTGTTCCCGCACCTAGGCAGTGTGTGTGGGGGGGAAGCAGGCTCCAGCCTTCTCTGGCTGCCTTTAAGAAGATTTTTAGGGAAGGGATTCTCTCTCGGGGTTTGGCTTTTAAGAGTGCTTGACAGGCTCAGAAGAGGCTGTGATCTCTCAAGCTAAAAGCGGGAAAGGTTGGATTGACTCGTCGTCTTCACTGGAAAACGCCATTGGGTAGAAAAGGAATGAAACTCTGGCAGTCCAGGGGGCGGGAGGGGAGGCAGGCCTTGCCCTGTGGGTAGTGTCACTGGTAGGCCTTACTAGAGTCCAAACTGCCTGAGGCTTCTGCTGGGAAAAACCCTCATCTTGGGCCCTGGTGTCGTCACCCTGGGTGTCTGACTCGTATGTCCATCCCACCACTGCTCAGACTCAGCCTTCCCAGACTGAAGGCACAGGCTGAAGCCTCCCCACAGCTTTCCCCTCTCCCTGGCCAGCTGGCTCCTTCTCCTGGGCTGCTATCATGGCGGCCATGGCGCCTGGGAGTCATCCTTGACACCTCCTGTCCATCCCCCCCACACCCACTCCACTGAATCCCACTCCTCCTACCATCCACGGACTCTGACATTTGTTCCCTTCACTCTCATCCACCCTCACCGACATCATGTCACCTGTATGGAGGTGGAGGGGGCTTTGCAACAGCCCCCCTAATGGCCTTCCCCCCCCTCCTTCCATCCTCCACTCAGAACTCCAAGGCCTCCTCCAAAATGGTAAACTGATCACATGGCTTCCCTGCTTAACCTTTGGCTGGGCAGCCTACCCACTGCCTGGCTGGGATTCACACAGAGGGGCGGAGAGGAGGTTCAGAATGACGCCCCCACCCCAGCTGAGATCCTGCAGGGCCCTTTACCTACAGGGTGGAGTCCGAGCTCCTCCCCATGGGCACCATGCACCCCCAGCAGCCTACAGTCTGTGGCAACCAGTGGGTGTGTATGAGCAGACCCACACCTCCCACCCCTAGCATGCCCCTGGGGTCTTGCCCCGGCCCCTTCCTTCTGCTCACCGCCACTGGTAGCCCCATTATGTTCTCCGAGGCTCTCTGAACCTCCCTGCTGGCTCAGTTCTGTGCTTCACTCCATGGTTCTCTCCTGGGGCTCCCTTTGCTCTTTTTCATTTGCTTGGGCCTTTGGATCCTTGGGGACTCCCTTTGGGTATGATTCCTCCTCCAGGAAGCCCTCTCTGCCCGCACACTCGCTCTACCCACAAAGTCTGGGGTAAATACCTCTCCTCCCTGCTCCCTCCCATGCCTCTCCCATGCCCCTGGCTAATATTACCTGTTTATCCTACTTCTCACCCCCTTAAAGACCATGAGGTCCGTAAGGGTGGGGGGTGTTTTCTCACTTGCTATTGTATTCCCGAAGCCAGCACAGGTCCTGGCCCCTGGGAGCAGCTCTGTGGCTTGCTTGCACTGGAGGGCCTACCCCAGACCTGCTCTGGAGGCCTTAGGGCCCCTGGGGGTGTGAGAAGAGGGAAAGGAGAAGGCGGAGCTTTCCAGCCTGGGAGTTGGGAAGTTCCTGGCCTGGCCCCCAGGGGGCGACATGGCCTACGTGGAACTTCAGGGTGTGGCCCCGAGAGGCTAGTTGGTGGGGGTGGGGATGTGAGCTGGGAGTGCTGGAAACCTCAGAATAAACAGGGCGTTTCTTCAGTGCCCACTTCACATGAGGATCTGAGAGCAAAACATGGCTTTAATATTAAAACAGTTATAATTAGAGAGTGGAAATGTGGAATACAGGCTAATTTAAAGTTAACACAGAAGACTTCAAAGAAATGTGCTTGTGGCCAGGTCTTCGGGCAACACCCAGACCCCCAGGAAGCCATGTTTATTCTCCTCAGCTGGGAGGGCTACTTGGGAATACAAGTTTGAGATGTATTCAGTTCTCAAAGTTCCACATCCTCATGGGACAGATTGGGACACTGAGGCACTGTGCGGCATTGGAACTTTTCACAAAGCTGTCTGTGAACACCACATCATCAGGGCGGCCTTCATGTCTGTGGGGGCTCTGAGATTGTTCTGGGCTTCTCTCCCCGGGTACACGATTTCCACCTGCAGAACTTGACAGCTCTCCTCACCTGAACTTCCCACCTGAGCCCCCAAATCCAGCTCTTCCTTCTGTCTATGTGGTTACCCCTGACCCCTTTCCCTCCAGCCCCCACAGCCACGCCCTGGGCCCGAGGTCTGTGGTCACTTCTTGACAGTGCTGTTTTGCCATAGCTCAGTACCTGTTCCAACAACCCCCAGGCCCTCATTACCTCTTACCTGGACTCGTGGAGGCGGCAGGAGTGGTAGTAGTAAAAATTGATAGCTGCTGACACTTAAATAGTGTTCACTACATTCCAGACCATGTCCTAAACGCTTTACTTGTATTGACCTATTGAATACCCAAACCTTTCCGTAAGGTAGGTACTTTCTATTCCTATTTTATAGATGAGGAAACTGAGGCACAGGGAGGTAAGGTAACTTGCCTAGGGTCACACAGCCGTTAGGTGGCAGAACCGGGCAGGTAGACATGCCCCTGATGTCTCTCCTTCTCCCCTCATACTCATCTCTGCCAGGTCCCGGCATCCTAGAGCCTGCTGTGATCATGGCCCCCTCCTAGCTTAGAGGTCATCAGAGTTCCCTGCTGGCTGCTGGGTGTTGTTCAGACATTAACTTGGCACTCTAGGCTCTCTTCCAGCCAGCCCAGTTTGCTCTTCCACCTTGCGGTTCTGCTGTCCTGTTCTTCAACTGTCTCCTCTCCTCCAAACTATCTCCTCGGACTGGAATGCCCTCCCTCCAGCTCCTCATGCCAAAACCCTTCCTGCCGTCAGCACCTGCCGTCAGTGCCACCTGTCCTGGGGAGCCTTCGAGGATGCTCAGCGGCCGGGAATGGTCCTTCCTTCCTCCAACTCCTTTCACGTTTCTGGCTCCCTGTTTTTGGTGCCTCTTGTCCTCTGTCTCCTGAGGACATATCTTTCTCCAGCTGGAGTGAAGATTCTAGAAGAGAAGAATTGGTGTCCCCCACTCCCACCCATAAGTATTTGTCAAGGAATGTGTTCGTATTTGTTGTCAAGGTGGCACCCAGGTAGGCAGCACTGACCTTAGGGCAGGAACCTGGTTTCTAATTTTGTCACTATGCAGAGCCCTGTGTAACCTTGGGGAAAAGGCTTCTGTCCCTGGGTCTTAGTTTCCTGATCTCCAGGAATGGATATTAACACTCATTCAGACAGAAGAGGCCTCTGCTGATGACAAAGCCGGCCACCCCCTGCAGAAGAACAGGGGATGGGGGGCAGGAGCCATGAGTTCACCAGAAGCCTAGAGAGGACAGAGAGGGTGTGAAAATCAACCTTGCTTCCTTTGATGGGAGATGAGGACAAGGTTGGGCCTGAATGTCCCCCGTGGAAACAAAAGACCCGGTGAGGCTTCTGGCCCATGTGAAAGGCCCTGGAAGGCTCACGGGGAAGAAGTCTCACTTCTCAGCCTCCACGCTACCCGCATCTTGGACTCGAAGATTCTTTGCGGGGGTGGGGGGGGTTGCTGCCCAGAGCATGGCATGGTGTTCAGCAGCGTCCCTGGCTTCTGTCTTCTCCCTGAGTCGTGACAACCAAAGTGTCTCCAAACATGGCCAAATATGTGGGAGTGGTGGGGGGGCAGTTGAGACCTCTGAGTTAAGCACACCCACAAGCAATTTTTCAGCATCTACTAAATAAGTGCTTAGGTCTGGTTTGGAATGAAAGGTTTCACATGAGGAACAGTTAAGGAAGTTCTAACTGCTGTGTTGGGTGGGTGGGGGGGAGTGGCGAGGGGAGCCCCCAAGGCCCGAGGGCAGACCTAGGGCTGGATCTCCAAGGAGGAGCAGGGAGGATGGGAACTGGTGAGGGGGGGAGGCATTCGGGGTGAGGGGAGCTGCCTGAGCCAACACACAAGGGCAGGCACAGACAGGGCCCCTTTGCGACATCGAGCCTCCTTTGGCAGCATTGGTTGGAGGGTGTGTTGGGGGAGCAGTGGGGAGGAAGGTTAAATAAATATTATTCCTGGTGTGTTTGGTTGTGGTACACTGGATCTAATCAGGAATGCATAAATCTAAATGCCAGTTCTCTCACAAAACCTCCCCAGAGCTTCCTCCCCCAGAACCCCCAGTCTTACACACCCCATTCTGCTTACTAAGGCTGGAGCCATACCCAGGGGTCGTTAGAAGCTCTGGGAGCCCACCCCTGACTGCTTGGAAATGCTCCTGACCTAGTACCTGTTTTCTCCTGCAGGTGGTAAACCCGAAAAAGAAAATGAAGAAGAAGAAATACGTGAATTCTGGCACGGTGAGTAGCCACGCCCCTCTCTGTAGCCGGGTGTGGACATCCTGAGTCCGGAGCTAGGTCTGCCCTGTCAGGAGTTGGGCGTGTCTGTGTGGGCTCGTGTGGGGTGTGGAAGCCAGACCTGGAGAGTTGAGGGTGGGAAGGGTGGGGCAGATGGAGCCACAGCCCCGGGGTGGGGGTGGGCAGCCAGTGTAGACGGTAGATGGGCCACACCACAGGCGCTGTGATACAGAATGAGAAATCCCAGAGAGGAACTCCCATGGGGACTTCCTGCAGAAAGGGAGAGGAAAAGGAGTCGTGTGCATTGGGCCCTTACTCTGGGAAATTCCCCACCGAGGTGCTTTTCATAGGTTGTTTCCTTGAGAGGCAGACATTATCATCCCCTTGTCATAAAAGAGGAAACCAAGGCTGCCAGCAGGGAAGTGACTCAGCTAAGGTCACAGAGCCAGAGAGGCACAACCAAGGTCCTAGAGCTGGAGACGGCAGTCAGTGCCCGTTTGCCACGACGATCCTAGGATTACACGAGCCATGCGGCATCTGGGGGGCTGCTCTTCAGGACATCCATGCATTTATCCAACAAACATTTCTTGAATACTGCCGTGTTCTAGGCATGAGGGTTATAGCTGGAAACAAGACAGACTCACATCTTTGCCTTCCTGGTACTTACATACCAGGGGGATATGGGGGAGACAGAAAACAAATACATATGCATACGTATACCTGTATTTTTCAGGTGGTTACAAGTGTTGTGGAAAAAAGTATAAGAAGGTAAAGGGTTGGGGTCTCTGGGTGGCTCAGTCAGTTAAACGTATGTCTTCGGCTGAGATCATAATCCCAGAGTCCTGGAATCAAGCCCTGCATCGGGCTCCCTGCTCAGCGGGAGACCTGCTTCTCCCTCTCCCACCCTACCTGCTTGTGTTCCCTCTCTCGCTGTCTCTCTCTCTCTTTCTGTCAAATAAAGAAATAAAATCTTAAAAAAAAAAGAAGGTAAAGGGTTGGGGAATGCCAGAGACAAAACTATTTTATATTAAGTAGTCAAGGAAAAGCTTTTCTCTGAGAAGGTGACATTTGAGCAGAGATTCAAAGGTGAAGGAGCAAGTATTGGGGCTACTGGGGAAAGAGAATTCTAGCTGTGGGGATCAGCATGTGCTGCAAAGGCCCTGAGGTGGAGGCCACGGTGCCTGTCTCAGACAAGCCAGCATCTTTCCCCTGCAACTATATTCAGAGCTGTACCCCTCCTGTCCCTCCCTACTGTAGCGGTTCAAAGCCCCAGCAGCTAATGGACCACAGTTAGTCATTGGATTTAAGCAAACTGCAACTCCAGACCTGGACGAGGTCCTAGTCAGGGAGCTCTGCGGCTTCCTCTGAGGTACCTTATTGTCTCTATCTGTAAAATGGGTTCATAAATCATCCCTACCCTGCTTACTGCACTGGCTGGCTATGACAGAGGGCTGGAAGTTCTCTGCTCACTCCAAGGAGACAAATTGTAATGGCTGGCAGACCCCTGAAACTTTCCCACATATTCCCGTGACCCTAGGGGAGGCAGCACTTTCCCCAGCTGAGAAGTTCTGGATGTACAGCTCAAAAAAAAGAAGAAAAGCTTGAAAACCACTGATCTTCTTCAGTCTTCTTGAAGATAAGGAAACTGAGGCCCAGAGAGGGGACACGATTTGTCTCAGGCCAGTCTTCAACATAAAAAGTTAGTCAGTGTCCCTGATTTTTTTTTTTTTTTTCAGATTTATTTGAGAGAGAGAGAGAGAGCTCACATGAGCGGGAGGGGCAGGAGAGAGAATCTCAAGCAGACTCCCTGCTGAGCATATGACCTGAGATCATGACCTGAGCTGAAATCAAGAGTCAGATACTCAACTGACTGAGCGACCCAGGTGCCCCGGTCCAGGATGCTTATTAAAATGCATATGCCGAGTCCAGTTCCCTAGGGTTCCATTTTAGGAGGCCTAGGCTGGGGCCCAGGAAGCTGTGTTTAGTGCTTCTCATACCTTCCTTACTATGTGCAGAATCTTCTGGGGATCTTGTTAAAATGCCAAGAATCTGCATGTCCGCATTTCTTTCTTTAAAAAGATTTTATTTATTTATTTATTTATTTGAGAAAGAGCACAAGCAGAGGGGGAAGCAGACTCCCCACTGAGCAAGGAGCCCAATGTGGGGCTCCATCGAAGGACCCCAGGATTATGACCTGAGCCAAAGGCAGGCACTCAACTGACTGAGCCACCCAGGCGCCCCTGCATGTCCACATTTTTAGCCAGCATCAGGATGCTGGTGCTGCTGGTGGGGATCCAGGGACCACACTCTGAGCAGCAGGATCCTGGCTCAATCCGTATGATCTGGCAAGTTAGGGAATTACTTCATCCCAGGGCCTTGGGGTTCAACCCCAGCTGCAGGTTAGACTTATGTGAGGAGCTTAAAAAAGATCCAAGGCCAGAACCCTACCCCCAAAACTGATGTGACTGGTTTGGGTTCCCCACCCAGGCTGCAGGAGGTTTCCAAAGCTCCCCAGGGAGTCTGGTGGTCATTGGTCAGGGTAGAGGCCACAGCCATAGTCTCCTCCTAGCGAAAGGAGGCTTTGTCCATCCAGGCGCCTAACACCCTAACCACGGCAGGTAGGGTCTCCAGGGCCCAGCACAGCACCCACAAACCCTCCTGTTATTTGGGCTGATGTCAAGCAGAGGCCCTCTCTGGCCTACCCAGAGAGTTTGTAAAGATAACAGAGCCTGCAGCAGTAGGGAGTTCCCCAAATTCTAGGGTAGAACTTTCGGACACAGGTGAAGGTCTCCTGCCCCAGCCTTGCCCCATTTAATTGATTTTGGCAGCCGGGCTTTCACTTACTTGTCTTCACAATCCTAAATCATTATTGTAGTGAGCCGCCAGGTAGCTGCCTGTCTAGGCACAGTCAATGCCAAAGCCGTCAGAGGGCAGGGGTGAAAAGGCGTCTGCTCTGGGGCAGGGGCCCCAGGTCGGTTACCTCCCAGGAAAGAACAGGCTGCTTATGAGGATCTTGGGTCCGAGAAGGTAGAGATCAAGAGACACCAAACAGGTGAGTTGGGACAAGTGAGACTGAAGATACAAGGACAGACCAAAGGGGCATGTTTTTCGGATGGATGGTTCGTGGGACAGGGAGCTCCTCAACATTGGCAGGTTGGTAGTGCCGTGTCGGGAAGACCCCCTCGCCTTCCACACTCCATGCCGGTATCTACTTGGGGGAAACTTGTGCTCTTGGCTTGAGTCTCCATGCTTCGGGGACAGAGGGCGGGCCCCGTGGGGGTGCAGGTGGGGTCAAGGTCAAGAGGGCAGGCTCTGGAGTCAGACCTGAGTTTGCTTCTCACTCGGCCAGGTCCTGGCAGTGTCCTCGGGCACACTGCCTCCCTCTTTGAACCTCAGTTTCTTTGGCTAGAAAATGGGATAACCGTTGTGCTTCACAGGGTTGTTGTGGGTACTGTATGCAGTGGAGTGTGCAAAGCCGGTGGTGCTGTGTGCTCCCTCACTTGCAGCAAACCATCTCCCTGCAGCTCTGAGCTCCCCACTGACCAAGCTTCCTCTTGTTTTCAAGGTCACGCTGCTTTCCTTCGCTGTGGAGTCTGAGTGCACATTTCTTGACTATATCAAAGGAGGGTGAGAAGAGATCCAGCCTGGTTTCTTTGGCTTCGGGGAGAGGGAAGTGGGCCCCACATATAAGCATGAGCAGCTCTGGCCTCTTTGAGGCTCTGGACATAGCCTGTGAGCCCTGAGCCAACTCTAGTATCTGGCCTCAGACAATTTGCCCAGAGCCCTGGATGCTTCTGGATCCTGAGTGGCTACAGAGGGTGCTCCTGAGCCATGGAGGCCAGCCTGGGTCCCATCTGTCCCCTTGCAGGGATGGGACTCCATGACAAAGAGAACCAAGGGCTTAGGGAGACAGAGCTCTGGATGAGGAAATAGGAGGCCCAGGCTCTAGGAGCTTCTTAGCCATGAATTTGCTAGATTAGATTACTTGGAGCCGGTCACTTTCCTTACCTGAGTATCAGTTTCCTCCTCTATACATGCAGAGATTGGAGTGAATTCTAATGGCCGTTCCTTCTCTGAGCTTCTGATGCCTGGTCTGGTGGGGGTGGGGGGCACTGATTAACCTGCCCAGTGGCAGCAGAGACCACCTATAGGGGGCAAGAGGCGCTGGGGGATGAGCCATCAGAGGGTCCCACAGCCAACAGGTGGTCAAACATGAGCTTAAGGAGCAGAAGGAACCAGAAGGGCTGGCATCCAGGCCAAGGCAGGCAGGAGAGCCCGCAGGCTGTAGCCCACAGCTCATGGAAAGAGAGCCTGACTCCGAACTGAGGTTAGTGTGCTCTGTGCCAGAACAGGGGCCAGGTAAGGGTGTGGGGAGCCGAAAGCCCACAGGTGCAGGCAGGTGAGTTACTACACCTGTCTGGAAAGAAGACAGGCAGGACAGGTGCCAAAGGCTCATCCCAGCCAAGCAGGCACTTGGCTGCCGCCTTTTCCAGGGCAGAGGGAAAAGTCGGGCCCTGGGAAGCCACACGTACTCTCCCATGACACCACACCCTGCTGCCTCGAAACTGGTTTCCAGGTTGCAAACTCTCCTTCTACCCGCTGAATACACACCTCTTCACAGTCACCCGGGGGCCCCCCACTGCCCCTACCTGCCCTTCCTTTGAGCCCACTCCAGACCCTGCCTGGGCTCCCTTCCCCCATCAAAACCACCCCGTTCCCTCCCCCGTGAAGCAGCCTGCACTTACATTCTAGAACGCCTGCTAATTTTCAAACAGTGCACATCCTATTTATCCTTCTTCTTTGCAAGGCGCCCCTCATGTACAGAACCCAGTGGGCAAGGTGAGGATGATTATGTCCATTTTACATAACTTGCTGGTGGCCACACGCCCAGCCAGCAGCAGGCCTCCTCCTGGCCTCACGTGCGGCATTGCTTCCACAGTCGTGAGTCATCCCGGCCCTGCCTGTCTCACAGCAGCCAGGTGGGCCGAGATGCCGGCAGACACAGCGGGGTGGAAGGACTGGGTGCTGGGATGTCTCATCGAGAAGGAGCCCTCAGAGTCCGGCCTTCCCTGAGAAGCCGGCGCCGCAAGGCCGGGGAAGGTTTGGCGCTGGCGCCAACCCCAGGCCTCGCTCACACCTCTTCGTCCTCACCAGAGACCCGAGCCGGAGAGCAGGCTCCAGGGATCGAGAGCTCGCTCGACCTGCGTGTCCAGGCAGGCAGCTGATGGAGGCATTTGTCTCGGGCTCTTCTTCTCCCTGGCCTCCCTCCCCTTGCCCGCCTGGCCCCGGAGAGTGAGAATGGCCACCTGGGCCCCAGCTGTGTTCTGCCCTGCTCTGCCCTAAAGCAGGGCGGCATGGAGAGCCTGCAGGGAGGCTTTCTAGCCCCTTCCTTCCCCAAGTCATTTTGGAACCCAGAGCAGGGGAAGACCAGTTAAGGGGTAAGACTTACCTCTTCCTTCACCCTGATTTGGAAGAGCCCGGCCAGTGTTGTCCTCAGTTGTGGTCCCATGGGCCAGAACCGCCCTCCCGATGGTGGCCCTGGGAGCAGAGCTCTTTCACTGTAGCAAAGACAAGAATCTCTTTACTTCCCAGGGAGAGATGACAACAAACAGTAGATGAATAGGACAGGTCAACCGCTATAACAAATAATCCCGTGACCTCAAGGCTTAATACAAACAAAGGTTTATTTTTTATCCATGGGGTGGCAGGGGTGGGTGGGAAGATGTACTGCACCATCAGTCAGGGACCCAGGCTCATGCCATCTTATTTCTCCGTCTCACTCAGAGGTTGGAGTCCCCTGGACGCCCTGCCCTCAGGCAGCAGACAGTGGGAGAGGGCGTGGGCCAGACCGCTCTGGCCAGCAGACCCAGCCCTGGGTCTCCTGCTCACCATGTCCTTCTCCCTTCCTGGGGACAATGGTTCCACGAGCAGGAGCTTATGCATAGTCGGGTGGAGAGAGGGCTGTGGCTGATCTTACATCGGGCCAACTCGGAACCACTGGAACAGAGCGTCCCCACCTGTGATCCCAGAACCACTCCTCAGAATCCATCCGTGGAGGAGAGCAGGGATTGTCTGTTGAAGAAGCAGACTCTGGGCCACCGTCTCAGGCCGACTGAACTGGCATCTTTGGGAGTGCAGCCCTGGGCTCTTCTTTCTAAACCAGCTCCCTGGTCACCGACCAGCTCTGTGGTTACTGGACAATGAGGCCCATAAGACGAGACTTTATCCAGGGGCTCCTGTCTTGTCAGCTTCGTTCTGTCAGTATCTAGCATGGACCCGAGAGCAGCAAACCCTTAGAAAGCTTCAACCCTGAACCTGAATCCTCAAAACCAAGATTTTTTATTCTGGAAAATTTCTAAATACACTCAAAAGTAGAGAGAAGGTATAACAAACCCCCAGGCACCCTTCACCCAGGTTCAACAGTTAACCGACTCCTGGCCAGTCTCCTTCCACGCATGCTCCCTTTCATTCAGTTATTTTGAAGCAAATGAAGCAAATCACAGTCATCAGATTTTATCCCCCCAATACTTAGGGATATAGCTCTAAAATATAAGGACGTTCTCTTTGTAAAATACAACCGCAATACTATAATTACTATAATTACACCTAAACATCAAATAGTTCCTTAATACCAAATATCTAGGCAGTGTTCCAATTTCCCCAGTTTTCTTATAAAGTTGTTCAATTAGCTTATTTGAATCAGAAATCCAGGCAAGATCCATATATTGCGACTGGTCGATTTGTCCCTTAATTCTCTTTTCATCTGTTGATTCCTCTAAGCACGCGAGGGCTTGCTAAAACAGAGTCCTGCTCCCTACCAAGGGATTCAGATTCACAAGGTCTGAGGGGGGGAGGGGGCTCCCTCAGACTGGTTTTTACTGGCTGCTTCCCCTGGCTGTCATGGAACATGTTCCTCTGTCCTCTGTATTTCCTGTACACAACTGGGAGAGAGCTCTGGAAGCTCACTTGGATTCAGGTTCAAGTTTTTGGCGAGACAGCAGTATGGGTGGTATTTTGTTCTTCCCTCAGAGATGCATGATATCTCTTTGGCTCTCTTTTTTTGCCAAATAAGCGTTAACCCTGCATCTGGCACTAAATTTGAGCGAGAAACACAGTGAGAACTTCACGGGACTCAGGTGGGCCCAGGGGCAGGGTTTTGGGAGGAAATAATTAATTGTCACCATGTGCCCACACAGAACACAGTCCATTCAGAGAGCTTCAGACACTGCCTTCCTCTTAGGTTCACAGCAGTCCTTTGTGGGGAGGCTGTGGCTAGCATGACTATCCCCGTTTTCCAGAACTGGAAGATGAGCGACTTCACCAAGGCCACGTGTCCAGCAAGCTGTGGGGTTGGGGTGGAGGCCGGATTTTTCCCTGTCCAGGTGACTCCCCTGCTGCTCTTCCTCTTCCAGGACCCAGATCAACTTCACGGTGGCCATCGACTTCACGGCTTCCAATGGTGAGTGGGGGGATGGGCAGAGGAGCTGGCACGAGGCTGGGGGCTGGAGTGGGGAAGGCTTCTCAGAGCTGTGGTAGTTGGTCCTAGCTGGGACCAGCTCTCCCATATTCTCTGGCCTCATCTTCACTGAAAAGGAGGTCCTTAGGGCTTGGGGAGCCAAAGGGATTACCAAGATGGTGAAGGTGTCCCCAGCCTGGACTGTGGTCACTAACAAATCTGGGCTCTGGGCCCATGAGGAGCGCTGGAGAAAAGATGTTTCCTCATGGGATCAAATCTCACATCCTCCCACACAGCCCAGTCCCCAGGCTGGAGGGGAGCTCTTTGGTCATCAGTGAGGGCAGGAATCCCAGTTCCCAGCTTTGTTGGGGCCACCCCAGCTCCCTTCCCACTGGGGATCTTCTCCAGGGTGGGGCTCTGCCCAATTCACCATGACTGACCAGTGCCCAATTTCACACCATTGGAAACGTCACCACCTCCCTTGGAGTCTGGACCCTCGTTGGCGGTACTCCATGCCTGTCAGAGCAGCCCTGGTTTGGAACTCGTGGGATGGGCCCCAGAGTCCTAGGGTGGTAGGATTCAGGGCTGAGAGGGGCATTGCAAGAATCCCACCTGCTCTGTCCTCACAACACTCCCATGAGGTGGGACTGTCACCCCTGCTGCACACACGAGGACCTGAGACTGAGAGGTAAGGATCCACGGGAAGAGCGCGCAGCTGGTCGCAGGGAGAGACAGGATCTGTTGGTTGGCAGTCTGTGACGTAATGCCTTGGATGAATCAATAAGTAAAATGTGGGCCGTTCTCAGTGGGGACGAGGGCTATGGGGGCGATGTAAGCCAGCAAGAGGGATAAGGGAGTATTGGGGGAGGCTATGATTTTCAGGACGCACACTGGGAAGGGGACCACACTGGGAAGGGGACCCTTGAGTAGCCGAAGCAAGCTACACATACCTATGCGGAAAAGTGTCCTAGGGCAGAGGGACATGCCACTGCGGAGGCCTTAAGGTAGGGATGGCAGGGGGCTGGGCCTGAGTGAGGGGAGGGGCTGGCAGGAGGTATGGAGGGAGGTCACTGGAGGCCTGACCCCGAGGAGCCTGTGGGCTCCCCCGTAAGGACTGTGGGTCTGGTTCTGGGCGAAATGGGAGCCTTCAGAGCCGAGGAGAGGCATGGCCTCGTTCCTTGGGCTGGACTCCAGGCAAAGGACGGAAGCTGAGAGATGGTCTGGGCAGCCGCCCTCCCACAGGCAAGGGGATGGGGCTGTCACAGAGCACAGGAGAAGCAGATGAGCGGGTGCATGTATTTTGAAGGGTTAGCAACCAGGATTTACTGAAGGATTGAAGGTGTGGCAAGAGAGAAAGAAAAGAGTCAAGGATAAAGAAAATCACGGGTGCCCCTGGAGACCCCCCTCTGCATTCTGAGCCCACGGTGCTTGGAGTGTCAGGAGCAGCAAATGTTCCCATGTCCCGTGTCACAGGGAACCCGTCGCAGTCCACGTCCCTGCACTACATGAGCCCCTACCAGCTGAACGCCTACGCGCTGGCGCTGACTGCAGTCGGGGAGATCATCCAGCACTATGACAGCGACAAGATGTTCCCTGCCCTTGGCTTTGGGGCCAAGCTGCCACCCGACGGAAGGGTGTCCCATGAGTTCCCGCTGGTAGGAGGTCCTGGGAGGTCAGACCGAGGGCTGACCAGGCTCGGGGCTTGGCGACAAGCCTGGGGTGGAGGGCACTGCTCATCGTCCCTGCCCCAGGACAGTCAGTGCCCTCTTTGGAGGCAGGGTGGGTAGGTTGCCTGCTGGGGGGTGGGTGAGCTCATAGCAGGGCCCCCAGAAGCCCACTCCCCACCTTGCTCACCAGCACCTCCCCTCCGTGTCTGATGCCACCCACAGGGGGCTCTGGCCTCCTTTCCCTGACAAGACCCAGGAGAGTGGAGTGGAGATGTGCTTGAACTACCCCTCCCCCTCAAGGCCCCCAAAATAAGGGTAAAGGGGTGTGCACTGGGATAAGACAACTGCGGGTGGTCCCAGGAGCTCCCTGAGTTGGTGCTGAGACGGGGGCCACCTCCACTCCCTCCCTCCCACGAGCTGGGAGCACTCCGTCATGCCAGGCACGGTGTTGGACACCAGATACAAGACAGATCAGCTTCTGGTCCTTCCAGACCTGCTCAGACCTGGCAGTCACTGGAGGATGGGGTGGTTTGCCCAAGGTTTCCTCAGGGGAGCAGCCAGGGCTCTCAGGGGGGCCTGCTGAGCAGGAGCAGAGAGTGGGGCAAAGAGCGGGTTTGGGCTCTGCTCCCCCAGAGTGTGCGCTGCCTGCGGATCTCCCTCCCTTGCCCACTACCTCCCACCAGGGAAGAGTCATGGAGATCCCTGGCCTTCCCCACCCTGGCTGTGCACAGGCCCGGCTACCCTCCCTCCTCCTCCTCCCTTCTTCCTGGGTCAGCCTCCCTCTCCTTGGCGCCCCCAGAATGGCAACCAGGAGAACCCTTCCTGCTGCGGCATCGACGGCATCCTGGAGGCCTACCACCACAGCCTGCGCACTGTGCAGCTCTACGGCCCCACCAACTTCGCCCCAGTGGTGACCCACGTGGCCAGGTGAGTGCCACGGTCCCCAGATGTCCATCCCAGAGGCTCACGCGGCGTCCGTCCACACCTGTCCTCTCCAGAACGTGGGAGGGGCGTCTCTTCCATTTACTCACCTTTCAGGGAGCCCTGACCCTAAAGAGACTCTCCTCCCACCAAAGAATTATCCCCCCCCAACCCCCTGCAAAGTGTTATGGGGGCGGGGAGGGGTGCAGAGCGGGCCAGACAGACTGCAGCCCCCGCTCCCCCACGCCCCCCAGGACTGCGGCCGCAGTGCAGGACGGCTCCCAGTACTCGGTGCTGCTCATCATCACGGACGGGGTCATCTCGGACATGGCGCAGACCAAGGAGGCTATTGTCAATGTGAGCTGGGGGTGGGGGGCATGCCTTCCCACTTCTTTAGAGAAACCCCTGGGAGGAGGCTTCCCGGGCAGTGAGATTTGGGGAGTGGAAGGATCCTGTGGATGAGCTCTGTATCTAACACCCACCCTCCACATGGGCCATTCCCTCCCGATGCCTGTGGCTCCCTTGTTAATCTGTCTCTTGGACCCCTGCCCCAGACTCCAGCCCATCCCTGCCAGGAGGAAGTGGGAGCCCAGAGTGGGGGAGGCCCAGGAACATGACTCCCCCTACTGGGTGGGCTCCCAGTATAAGGGGCTGCAGCCCCAGCTCCCACTTCTGGATGCCCACATAAAAGATGTCCCACTTGATGGAGATGCAGGGACAGGAGAGGGGATGGGGGGTATCTCACAGAAGCAGACCTGGGACCCATTTCCCCCTCTTGACCCTCTCTTCCTCTCCGGTGCCCCACGGCTATTTCCCTTGGTTCGTGTCCTGGCCCTTTCGTATGTTTCTCTGTGTGTCTCCATCCTTCTGTCTTCCATTTCTCTGTCCTTCTGTCTTTCTTCCATGGACCCACCCCATTCTGTCCCTCCTCCTGATCTCCCAGGCTGCCAAACTCCCCATGTCCATCATTATCATCGGAGTGGGCCAGGCGGAGTTCGATGGTAAGTCCCCACCCCCTGATGTTTCCCCAGAGGCATCAGGCCCTTGGGAATGACCCTTCCCCAAAGAGTGAGAGCTCCTGGGTGGGTGTGACTGTCTGGGTGAGCACGCAGGGTGTGAGGGTGTGTTTGTTTGTACAGGGAAGGGTGTGTCAGGGTGTACACCCATACCCATATCCCAAGGCTGTGGGGAGGAGGTCCAGTCCATCCTCCCTCCTCCAACCCTGGGAACGGAGGGTGGGGGAGCGGGAGCACTGGGCTAGAAGTTAGAGACGCACCATGTTGGGCTCCTCCTGTCTCCTCCTCTCTAATGAGGGCGTTTGGTCTGACCATCTCTGTCCTGGATTGGCCCGGGATTGGAGGACAAGCCCACTGTCCTGCCAGGCCCGGGTGTGCACCATTAATTCAGTGTACCACCAATGCCTGTTTTCACACAGCCATGGTGGAGCTGGATGGTGATGACGTGCGGATCTCCTCACGGGGGAAGCTGGCAGAGCGGGACATTGTCCAGGTGAAGCCCAAATCCTGCCTGTCCCAAGGAAAATGCCTAAGCCCTTCTAGCCAGGCCAACCTCATACCCCCTTTTAGAAAATTCTCTGGAAAGGGGCCTTGGAGGGAGCCCCAGAGTGGTTTGGTCACCAAAGAAGGGAACAGGAATCAGTCCTTGGGTCACACTTGTCCCCTGGCGGGACCCCTCCCTACCATGTCTGAGACTTGCCCCCAGTGTTTTTGCCCTGACAGGAATGGTCTGCCAAGGCCTCCCTGAACTGCCAGGCCTCCATGGTTTCCTGCAGATCGCTTAGGCCCAATGCTTGCACTTTCCAGTGTCTTCTGTGGGGCTGCCTTCCCAGTGAGATGGCAAATCCCTTGGAGGCGGAGGAGGCGTCTTTAGTGTTGCCGAAGCCCTCTCTGGGAATGGGCATTGCCTGGTTCTTTGTATCCGTGTCTTACCCTCTCATGTAGGATGGCACACGTAGTGAGCAGACAGGTCTTTGTCCTCCAGGCATCCCTGCCCAGTCAAGCCTCAGAACGCACCTTAGTAAGCACTCCTGTCTGTGAACCTCCTAGGAGATTGGAAGTAAAGACTGACGTTCCCCAGACCCCCTGGGGTCCTTCCAAGGTTGGAGACCAGAGTCAGGAGGCTAGGTAGACCCCAGAACAGGGGCAGTTCTGGGAGTAAGCGGGGGGACCCATGTAAGGAGAGGCCTAGAGGCAGACATGAGCTGAGGCACTCAAGGGTGGGTCACCCTCTGGGAGGAAGCCAGAGGAGCGTGACTGTAGGTGTCCACCCAGAGATGGAGGAGAAGTAGAGCAAAGGAGACAGAGAGATTGGGGGAGATGGGAAGGCCTATTTCCCAGAAGCCAGGGTCTTCATCCAGCATTTTCTGATCACTGGCTGAATCCCTGTGCTTGGTGCCAAGACTTCAGAGCTAAAGGGCTCCTGTTTAGGGGTACATCTTGGCATGGAATATGTGCCCCGTGATACCTCATTGAGCCAATGAGAGAAGAGCCCCTCAGGGTTCACCAGCAGAGGGTTGGCTGATGGAGAGGGCAGAGGCGGGGGAGGAATGGTCCTGGGCCAGGAGACTGGGGAGGGGGGAGGGGCTGGGGTCCAGCCAGAGACCTGGCCTGACTGTGCCTTTCCTCCGGCCAGTTCGTGCCCTTTAGGGACTACGTGGACCGCACCGGCAACCACGTGCTAAGCATGGCGCGCCTGGCCCGTGATGTGCTGGCCGAGATCCCTGACCAGCTGGTGTCCTACATGAAGGCCCAAGGCATCCGCCCGCGCCCCCCACCTGCAGCCCCGGAGTCCTCGCCACCACGGTCCCCAGCCCACACTCCCCCTGCCTCCCCCCTGCACACACACATCTGAGCGCTCTTCCCGAAGGTCTCTGGCCTGTGGTGGGTGGCTCCCTGGGGGGAGGGGGCAGTGGAAGCACAGCTGGGGTCCCCAGACCCCCTTGCAATATGCCATGCCTAGCCTTTGTAACTGTGTGTGCCTGGGAGGCCAGCGGGGGACGGGGCCCTGAAGACTCTGCTCTCATTTCTCAGCCTCGTGGCCCAAACCCGGGGAATTGGAGGGTACGTGTGGTGGGGGTGAGGTTCTGGGCCTCTGCCCTTCTCTGTCCCCCCAATACCTGGTTCTAGACCAGACAGGAAGGGGTTAAAGATCAGGAGGATTGGGGTCCCCCTCAGTCCACCTGGGCAAGCCCATCTGTTCCTCCGTGGCCCTGAAGCCTGAGCTGGGCCGCTCCCCTCTGGGGTGCTAGGATACCCCGCCCTCCTGTGCCGTATACTAATACACTTGGCCCCTGATCTCTCACTCCCCAGTATCTACCCCATCCCTATTTCCAGTGAACCCTGTGAGGCTGATGGGTCTGCAGGGATGCCTGAACATGTGACCCCCTCCCAGGGACACTTGCATGCCATGGGAGCTGAGCAGACCCATGAAGGGGAGACTGTGATGGGAGGGCCATAGGCCACATGATGGGCTAGGAATGGAGGCTTTTTAGATACAGAGTCCTTTCCGGTGCCTCTCGGGCCCAGAAAGATGCTGGCTTTAGATCCATAGGCCTGTCCCTGGTATGGGCCCACAGGCACCTCTACATTTGACTCCTGGTTCTAGGCACCCTCTCCTCCCACCAAGGCTTCCCAGGGCCCTTGGAGCCCAGTCCTCTGCTGCTCCCCTGGAGGCCTTGGAAGGAGCCATCCAGCCCCAGCACTCCCACGTCGCCACTCTTTCCCACAGGGAAAGGAGACAGGAGTCCTGGGTTTGAGCCTGTGGGAACCCAAGCAAGGCCCTTCCGCCTTCTGGGACTCAGAAGTAGGGCAAGAGGGTTGACCAGATGGTTCCAGGTTTATCTTCAGCTCCAGTGTCCTGAGAGTCCATTCATGCCATGCCCAGCTTCCCCATCCCACGCCTCAGCAGTGTGACCCCCTTACTCCAGGCCGTCTTGGCCCTTAGGGTCACTCTCTTCCCTCCTGTCACCTCAAATCCACTCTAGTCCTTCAGCCTTTGGCTGTGGGGTCTGAGCCCAAGCCCCTGCCTCTGCTGTGGGAAGGCGGGAAGGGTGATCTCACCCCTGGGCCCCCCGAGCTGCCCAGCCTTTACCCACACAGGGAGCAAGTCATGCATGCCAGCCCCTCCCACTGCATGGGGCCCCTCAGCCCACGACTCGTCCCATGCCTGGGTGGAGACCAGGCCCCCAACCTGTCCACTGCCCAACACCGCTTCCCTTCCCGTCATGCATGATGGTGGTGTTTCTATGCTGTCTGGTCCTGTGCCCGTCTCTGAGACAGTCTCTGTGTGGAATTTGCCTTAAACTGAAGTAAACTGGGTTCTTTTAGTAAAGTTCCTTGCTTTCCTTTCTCCTGTGAAAAACAGCAAGTGTGTTGCTGTTTGACAGAATCCAAGCTCTCCTCTCTCTATCTCTCTTCTATTCTTTTGTTCGATTAAGGGTTTCCTGAGCAACTACAATGTGCAAGGGCCTGGGCTGGGTGCTCAGGGTACAGCAGTGAACAAAACACTTGCCCTGTCTCTGCACAGAGCTCACGACAGACACACAAATAAGATGGGAAAACCCAGGAAGCACATAAACAAATAGGTACATAACCTAATTTCAGGTGGTGGTAAGAGTTACAAAGACAAATAATGGAGAAGAGGGAGAGTGATGTTTTAGGTGTGGTGGTCAGGGCAGGCCCCTCTGAGGAGGTGAAGGTGGAGATGAGCCCTAAGGAAACGAGAGAAGGAGGCATGCTGGTATCCAAGGCAGGAGGGCTCCAAGTAGAAGGAACAGCAAGTGCAAAGGCCCTGAGGGAAGAGGATACTTTGTGTGAAGGGCAGTAGGGATGCTTATATGATTGGAGCTGTGTGAAGAGGGGCAGGGGCCAGGGATAGTTCAGGAGATGAGATGAGGGAGGTGAAGAATCCAGAACGCATAGGCCCTTGTAGGCCATGGTAAGGGCTTCAGGATTACTGTGAGTGAAACAGAGCCAGCGAGGAGGTGAGAGAGGTGAGTAACACGATCAGATTATTCTCTAGAAAACAAGTGGGTCACTTTACTGCATTTGATCACTGACTCATCCCTCAACAAGCATTTACTGAGCACCGGTGCCAGGCCTGGCTCAGGTTTGGAGACACGGATTCACACATAGTTGCACCCTCCAAGGGTGACCTCTGCTTTGGAGCAGTGAGCAAGGAAATCCTACCACCCTGGGCTACCCATGCTAAGCCCATGGGAGGGGTCAGCGTCTTGGGCACCAAAGGGGTGCTCCTGACCCAGCCCGGACGACCCACAGGCCAGGTGCCAGGAGCTCTTGTATGTGATGGGACCACTCCTCTTTTCTGGCGGGATTAGTGTGTGGACAGACTTTGGGCCTACAGATGTGCCCACATCAAGTGTGCGAGGTGCACAGCCAGGATGCACTTGAGGAGGATGGTAATCTCTCTCCTCCTGTTCCCTCTTCATATATAAATCACTGTGGCCTTCAGAGCCCAGGATGGTGGGGAAAGGGGACTTCCTCCTCTGGGCAAGCTCACGGTCAGATTAGCCCTCCAGCCAGCCATTTCCAATCTGCACTTCACGAGAAATCTGAGACTAATTATACCAAAGTTTGGGACTTATTTACTTCTTATGATTTTATAGTAAATTAGAGCTGATTCATGGCTGTCCCTATAATTAGCTACCCCACTGACTTGCATTCCAATATGCTTTGAGTAAGAACCGGGTGGGGTCATAGCTCAGGAGAGAAGTTCCCAGAACCAATGACCCATTTTGCCTCACCTTGGGTGCCTGTGAGAAAGCGTCAAGAGGAGATGCCCACCGGCAGGGGAATCAAGTCTCAGAGCCACTGCCCCAGGGAACTAAGGTCATCTGTACTGTGCTTGACACTGTAGCTTCCCTCCTGGGTTATTTCTCAAGGTGTGTTCCACAGAACGCTGGTTCTCTCACATGGATTTTGGGGACCTGCCTACTCCGAGCCCCTCTCAGAGAATCCCAGTGGTCTTTGAGGTATTCAAAGCTCTGATAAGTCCTGCAGCAAAGAGACCTCTTTAAGTTGGTTTAACCCAGTGTTTCTAAAGCTTTTTGACCACGGAGACAGATTGTGTGTGTGTGTGTGTGTGTGTGTGTGTGTGTGTGTGTGTGTGTGTTTAGCTGTAACACTGTTACCAAGCAGAACATGTTGTCTTGGGACTTTAAGTAGAGACAATTCCCCTGGTTACCAAACTAACACAGATGCCGAGACCTGCTTCCAGGAGGCCAGAGGGAGGGCCTGGAGTTTGGGAACTTCTCAGAGGAGATGGGGTAGGAGAGGTGGAGACCTTCAGTTGCTCTGGGAAGAAGGAAGGTGTGTGCCACACTGGGAAGAGAAATCACAGAGAAGAAAGGAGACATTCAGAAATTCACGGCTTCAAGGTTGACCTTGTATTCGCTTATTGGGCCGAGAGGTGTGTGTGACCCAGCTGGCAGAGGGCAGGCAAAGAGGGGAGAGGTCCCTAACGGGCTCCCCTGGCCTTGGGGCCCCTACCCTGGCAGCAGCTGTCCCCTCCCCTCACCCCATTTTTCCCCAGGCCTTCAGGATTAAGGACCCCAGGCTGTTATTCTCTGGGTCATTCCTATACCCACATCTCTGCCTTTGGAATCCCTTTACCGACCTCTTGTCCCCTCACCTCAAATGCCCCTGAATTAATAAAAATAAAATGATAATGGTAATAGGAATGATGAAACTCATACGCGCTTACGAAACACCAGGCCTTCTAAGCACATTATATGTTATGTTTGTCTTTATAACAATGCTATGAAGAAGGGAATGATCACTACCCCAGATGAGAGAAAAGAATCAGAGAGAGGTGAAGGGACTTGTTCAAGATCATACAACTAGAAAGTGGTAGAGTCTACAGGGATCTGAGTCCCAAGGTGGGAAGGGAGCATCAATCCAGTCACCATTTTGGTTGCTGTGTCTCCTTGGCTGGGTCACCTGTCCTCTCTGGATCTCAGTCTCCCCATTGGTAAAATGGAGGGGATAGGCTCTAGTGTCCCTAAGCATCTTCCCACCCTTCTTGACTCTCAGCCCTCTCTCCCATCAGCCTATCTTCTCAGACCGGCCCCCCCCTCCACCCCCCCCTCCGGACTCCATAGGCCTCCTGGGGCCCTGTCCTGGACCGGCTGGATGCCCTCCAGCACCATACTGGCCCCGCCCACACCCTCAGGGTGGCTGGCGGCTGTGGGCCTGCAGAAGACATCCCTGAGCCCTGCCTGGAAGGGGCGGGAGAGGTAGAAGCAAAGGATGGGGCTCACGGCACAATTGGAGTACGCCAGGATAGTGCAGAGGCTGGATGCCACAAAAGCCGCTGGCGTGACAGGCAGGCCACCCACAGCTGCCACATAGCCCAGCACAGAGCAGGGCCTCCACATCAGCACAAAGACCCCCAGCACCACCAGGATGAACGCTGTGTTCTCCCTGTGCTCCTGGATGCTCTCCCCACTGGGGCCACGAGGCTGTGTCCGCATGAGCCAGCCCACATGGCCGAAAGAGCAGCCCAGCCCCCCCACACAAGGCAGGAAGGCCAGGGCTCCCAGCAGGGTGAAGTAACAGGAGGTCCCGGCAGGGCTCAGGAGCAGGAGGCAGGCCCGGGTCCCCGCTGCCCCCTCCTCCACCACCACTCTCTGGAACAGCCAGTTGGGCAACGAGGCGGTGACGCCCAGGACCCACATGGCCCCACAGAGCAGCAGGCGGGTGCCCCGGCCAGCGGAGAGGGCCACCTCAGGCCGGGCCAAGGCCACGTGGCGCAGAAAAGCCGTGGCCACCATGCTATAGAAGGTACAGAACATGGTAGCATTGTTGGTGGCCTGGCTGGCAGTGCAGATGACAGGGCTCAGCCACCAGTCGCGCCGAAGGAAGCTCAGCAGTAGCACGGGCACCACGCAGGCCACGAAGAGCAGGTCGGACAATGTGACGTTCACCATGAGGCTGTTGGTCAGGGCGCGGAGTGGCCGGGAGGTGCCTAAGTCCCGGCCTGCCACGAGCAGCATCAGCCCATTGGCCGGCAGCCCCACCAGCAGGATGAGGCCACACAGCCCGGCGAAGAGGAGTCGAAGCCATCGCTCGGGTGTGGCTGTGAGTCCGGTGGCCGTGAACGTGGCGTTGGGCTCCATTCCCCTGCCCCAGACACACAAGGACAGTGTCGAAAACCAGCCTGAGGGCCACCTTCGTCTTTCCCTGTAGAGCGTCTTCCCCTTTCACAGCCCCCTACGTCCAGTGGGGGCCCTTGCCCGGGATTAGTCCCTTGAGACCTCATGACAGCCTGACCCGACAGGCTCTGTCAGGGCTCCAGGTTCAAATCCTGGCTCTGATACTTTGTAGCTCTGTGACTTTGAGAAAAGTTACCCAGTTTCCCTACCTCAGTTTCCTCAACCGTGAAGAAGGAAGGAAATCAAGGAAAACAGATGTCAACAGTGACTGCTACAAAAGCGTGAGGTTCAGGTAATTTTCATTTTCCTCTTTGTAATTATTTCTACAGTTTCTGCAGGGGGTACAAATTGAATTTGGGGTGTGTGTATCCATGCATGTGTGCACACACACACACACATATCTTTTTAGATTTTATTTATTTATTTAGAGAGTTGGGGGAGGGGCAGAGGCAGAGAAGCCGACTCCCTGCTGAGCGCAGAGCCCCACACGGGCTCAGTCTCAACGTGGAGATCATGACCTGAGCCGAAATCCAGAGTTAGACGCTCAACTGACTGAGCTGCCCATGTGCCCCTATATGTATGTGTGTGTATGTGCATATATATATATATATATATTTTTTTTAAACAAAACCTTGCCTGCCAATGAAATAGGCAGATATTAGAGGTTCAAGCAAGAAGTAGATATGCAGGGGCTTTGAGACGGCATGCAGCCCCTCCCAGGGGTTCCCAAGCTTGTCTGCACAGTGGGATTACCTGGGGAGTTTCAAAAATCCTGATCCACAGGTCCCATCCCAGGGATGGGATTTAGCTGGTCTGGGCTTTGGCATTTTTGAAAGATCCCAGAGGACTGTCCAGGGCAGACCAGCTTGGGATGGACTGCACTCTGTGGTTGTGCTGTGCTGGTTACCTCGCAGGGTTGGGGGAAGCGATGCACCCTACCTTCCTCCTCACCCCCACTTCATCCTACATGCTGAGGACCTGGGGAGACCCCGATTGAGAGGAGTCAGGCTGGGAAATGGGATCTAGACATTCCAGAGTCAGCCGAGGGACCAGCGTCGCCACCTGCCACCCCACAGACCGGGACCAGAGTCCCTAGCTTTCTTGGGATGAGACTTGCCTATTGACTCAATAATTAAATATTTCCGAGTATTTACCCCGAGCC